GAAAGGAGAGTGGCTGAATCTATAGGGAATTTCGAGATGGAGTCACCGAGTATTTTTGTTGGTTATATCGATACTACACTATATACATTATATAACTAACTTCGCTTGGCTCGTTATATATTCCGTAACACGAAATGTGGGTAATAAAAGTGAGTTAGTTTGTTTTAAATATACAATATAATGATATATACGTGATGGTATTACAGTTGTATAATTTTAATAATGTTTTGAAAATGACTCACGAGAAATTGGATTAGGTTAGAATACGCGAAACGTTATTTTGTAAGAAAATTCATCTAGAAATTCTATTTTTTTTTTTTTTTTTCTTTTTGCTAGAACAACCAAATCAAACGAACGGATTTCATATTTTTTGTTTTACAATTATCGAGAACGTGAGAACGTTTTTTGAACGTAAAAATTAACATTGTAATTTATCGAGATAGAAACGTAATTACACATATATACCTACTTATTTTCATCGGTCTAATTACAAATCATTTATACGTAAAATAAATAGTAAAGGTATTACAGACCGACAGATCCAACGTTAAAAAGTAAAAAAAATACGAATAAAGAAAATTACGAAGAAATACAAATAAATGCAATTTAACTCGCAGCAACTGTTAGACCGCGTCTACCATATCTATACTATTAACTACTTTTTAAAACTTGAACAAACGTTTTATTCGCCTTTTTTTCACCGCAAAAAGGAAGATTTTTTCTCAAGTGCTTAAATTAATAGCAGCAACCGATCCTAAACCACAGCTTGCCACCATCGGTCGATCGAGACCGACACGCATCCAACAAAAGCAATCGGAGAAAATCCGCCCGAAGGAGCAACTTTGTTCAACCTTCGAAAGGCCAGTCACACCGGTGATGAATTTCGCTTTAGCGAGGGATCCTTGGCCGGCGTGCAAGGTCTTCGCCAAAGCGGAGGCCCGCTTTCGTCATCGATACGCCCATCGTGATTCGAAAGGCATCCGATTTCTCGCGTGTGTGACCTCTCCTTTCACGTGGGGCAGGTCGTGCCATGGCCAGGTGCAGCCAAAAACACAGGCCGTCTACCTGCGTGCCTTCGCCCTCGGCTACCGGACGTTGCACCTCCTCCTCCTCTCCTCTCCTCTCCTCTCCTCTCCTCTCTTTTCTCTTCTCCTCTTCTCTCTTTTCCCCGCCACCAGGCTCCAACTCGTCCTTTGTGAAGAGGATCTCTTCGTCGAGGCCTCGGTCGTGCACGACTACGCCCAAAGGGGGAAAAGAAGAGGGAGAGGGGAGGGAAGAAAGGAAAAAAAAAAAAAAAAGGAGAAGGAAAAGTCGAAGTCTCGGGGTCGTTGCCATCGTGAAACAGTCGTTCCACCCTTCTGTCAGAGGGGAGACGGTTATAGGGGGAGGGGAGAGGGGAGAGAAAGAGAATCTTCTCTCTATGACCGAAAAGATGCAGCAGGTAGGTGGGTTTTGGAACCACTCAAAGACGAGAAGGCATAGAGAAAATATTTCTTTGAAGAGAATATTTTTCTTCGTCGATGCGGGTTTAATATTGTAATATTGTATTTATTGTACGATTGATATATTGGAAGAAAGATTGTCAACGAGCATATATATATATATATATATATATATATTATAAATTTAATACACATAAATGTCCAACGATCCGTTTCAACGATACATAATTTGATCTTAGAAATCGTAGGAATTTTTATTATTGGATCGATATATATTAAACATAATATATATCATTTTCGTTGGATTCATTTGGAAGGAAAATTATCTACGCATTAATATTCTTAGACTTTATAATAGTGAGCTTCTTCTACTATCGCTATCCCCCGTATAGCAAAGATTCATCGCAAGGAAACGATTCAACGTTCATTATTCAACCTTTAAAAGCCTTGGCTTATATCCTCCACGAAGAACGTTTGAAGAGCGTCTCGACGATTAAACTCGTCTCGCGGCGGTCGTGTCGCGCCATAAAAATGAAATTACGATTTTGTAACGCTGAGAGTGACGACGATTGTTGTTTCACAGTTCCCCGGTTCCTAAATCATAAAATTCACCGGCAATTGTGCAGTTTAGATCCACCTTTGTGTACGATATACCTGAAACGGACAATTTGGTGGGCAAACTGTCGAGGACAAAATCTGTTCGATGTCATTGTCTTCGAATGTTTCCCTTCACGGTGTGTTTATTTTATTTTTTATTTTTATGGAACGTGAAAAGTTAAATTTAGGGCCATCGGTGGCCCATAATAGTTGTCAGCAATGAAGTTTTCATTAGACAGGATATAAATACCTTTCGATTTATTGCTCCGCGAGGGGAGGATGAAATTTGGGACGAACGCTATTCTCGTATTAATTAAATTTTTATAACGAGCAAAAGAAATAGAAATATTTTTCGTAAAATATACAAGAAATAACAGCTTGCTCAAAATTTATAAATCTGAAAATCAAATTCCTCCAATTCCAAAATTATTCTCCAAAATTACCAAAACTGTAGATCCCTAAAGAAATAAATTTGACAAACTTCAAAATTCTCAAAATCTCGAATATCAAAATATTCAAAAATCCTCGAACGATTTCCAAGTGGACGACGTTCGACATCGAAGTCCTCGTAAATGAAAAAAAATTAAAAAAAAAAATAAAGAAAGAAAGAAGACACCGAAGCGACATCCTGCTAGACGAAAATTGCCCTTGGAAGGGTCAAAGCTCTCCCCCAAGGTAGAAATTTCGCGTTGGTCGGGTCTCACGAAACGCGTCCTCCCCCAGCCGTGGTCGAATCGCGACGGTTGGATCGGATTCCAGAATGTTTCACGAGGGGTTGGAGAGGAGAGAGAGAGAGAGAGAGAGAGAGAGAACACTTGGACGACTGCGTGCAGTGGAAAGGCCGAGGGACAGGTGTCCGGCGAGGGTGCGTTCACGGTCTAACGATCGGGAACCAGACGCCTTTTAACGCTCTCCCCTCGTTGCAACGTGTGGGTGCGCGCAGCTTTTTTCGAATTAGGAGGAGGATACCTTCGATTTTTAGACACGGCTGTGTGTTCAACGTGTGTGTGTGTGTATATAGGGTGAGGCACGTAAAACCCCGACGATTCGATATTCCCAAAGATAATAGAGCGCTGCGACGATCGATTAGTTTCGAGAATTTGGAAGTATAATTGTTGATATGATATTTGAAAAATTAAAGTAGATAAATTATAGAGAAATGTAAATACTTTGGATATTTAATGATAGGATGTGTTAATAACGCGCGTCACAAAATTTTTTTGGAACATTTGAAAATAAATATGTTGGATATTAGTAGTTAATAATTATTAATGGCGTTAGTGTCGTCAAATGTTAAATAATATGTACAAGTGACGAATAACAATTCGTAGTATTTCCTCGAATTATATTCAAAGATACTATACTCGGCTATATCGATAAATAATATTTCAAAACATTTATTTCCAAAGAGATTATGCTTTTTCAAAAAAAAAGAAGAAAAAAAAAAAAAAAAAGAAAACAGAGAACGTTAATGATCGAGGCTGAAGTATTTATAGGAAACCGATCATTTATTTTAAACTTATTTTGTATTTTTACGATATAGAAACGTGCAGAAAGATTTCAAGATCGCTATGGTTATATCCGCACAGGTTTTGAATATGTATAAACGTAATTTACATTTCTAGCTAATTCAAATGACTTGCGGTCATTCGAACAGGGATATTAGCATAATTATAAATTTATGGAAAACATGTGAATTTTTTACTATCCGCCTATTATCTTATCATTATTATTAATATTTTGTAAACGATTTTAATTAGATGTCTCGTTAAAATTAGAATTTTTAAAAAATATATATATATATATATCTATAAATTAAACTTCGACACCTCGAAAAGATAACATTTTTTTCCATAATATTAATAAAAATATTATTATTAAAAAAATATTAATAATCGTTACTCTTCGTACGAATCACCCTGTATACACGTGTTTAAATGTGTGCACGCAGGCTCACACGTGTCCACGCTAAATCTAGCGAAGAAGGGTCTAGTTGGAAGCGGCCAGAATTTTTCGAAGGGAGGCTGACACTCGCATACGGTTACGACATATATCGTTTTTACGATCTCTTCGAGTCAACGAAAGCGCCCCGGATTTAAAAACATTCTTTTCCTTTTCCTTTCTTCTCTTCTCTTTTCTTTTTTCTTTCTTCTTCTTCTTCTTCTTCGAAACCCATTAACGTTTGTGACGAGCTTTTTACGCGAGTTTTAAAATTATATTTTCTTCTTTTTCTCCACGAGGTCTCTCGTTAGGTAAGGATTGACGAGGATTACGAGAATTAAAATAGTACTCACGATCCGGTTCCAGTGGAAGGGTGGGTAAGTAAGGAATCTTCTGTTGGCTTCGGAGTTGGTAATTGCAGGATTTTTGGTGGATTTTTGGAATTCTCGAGGACGAAAAGGACCTATTGATGTTGATCTCGAGTTAGCCGTGCGTTTCGTCGCGAATCAAGTTTTTGCCTCTTGCGAGTAGACTGCAGAATATATTCGAAAATACAATTATGCAAAATATTCAATATTTCGTGTAAGAGTAAGAAATTTTTATTGAGACGAGGACCAAGGAAGTAAGGATCTTGACATGAGTTCGATGAGGATTTTCGCGTCACGAATCTTTTCCTCAAAAAATACGTGCAAAAGAATTTTCAAGCTATTCAAGAATTTCTCTTTGCATTAAATGTATAACTCACGTAACATCCTTTTTGAATTTCATTGCAATTGCTTTTTATATCTAAAAAAAATCTATACATTTTACCCTTTTCGATTTTTTAATATGAACACACGCGTTGTATTTGTTGAACAAAGATTCGCCGAATTTTATTCTTCGAATAAAGAAATGCAAAACTTGAATATCTTTCTTCCATTTTCATTCACATTATTCGCGATATTTGTTTAATTTTGCACGAAGATCCGCAGTCTACTTACGTACATCGGTATAAACGAACTGAATGGATCAAATACTTACCCAATCACGTGCGGCACGTCGATGGAGTGGGAGGATGCTCGTTTCCGATCACCGGCCATATCGGCGAGCCTAGCGAAATCTGTGTCCTGGTCTGCCAGCCGTGCGCTCTTACGCGACTCGAGCAACCTGACCTCGTCTATACGCTTGGTCAGCCTCATCGTCTGCAAACAAGATCAACAATCTCGTCAAGATGGTTTCAAAATTTCAAATTTATTATTACCAATTTTTAAATTTACCATCTTTTAAATTTAAATATTCGATTCCTTCCTCCTAGTAGAGGGTCGAAATTGTGATCCCCTGATTCCAGCAGATAAAAATAATTCCACTATTCAAAGTTGAATGGATCGTATCTTTACTTATTTAAATTTTAAAACTGCTGCTTTATCCCTAATCGATTTTAAGAATTGGTTAGTAAATCTAATCGCGTTTAGTAAAATTTCGAAACGAAATCCCTCGTCGATCAATCGATAATATTGAATGAATCCACGTGTTCAAACTTTCGATTTATTCTAGGAAAAGATAAAAAAAAAAAGGAAAAATCCCCTCCATTCGTTTCTACTCCACGATCTGTTCCGCGAAACATTAAGCTGCGAACTCGTTTAAAATCAACAAAGGCGGGAAACAGGTTGCGATCGATATTATCGGTTCTCGAAAATCCGTTCCGCAAAGCCACTAAAAGAGTCATAAAGAGGATGCGGAGAAACGATGTTGTCCGCGATTCCGAGTTGGAAGGAACGGCGTTGAACGGTTCTGGTGGATGGAGAGGAGGAGCCGAGTCGTGTCGAGCAGGGAAAGGTGGAGAGAAAAGGGGAATAAAATTGCAAATGCAGGCTGACGCAACCCGCGCATGAATAACATGTGTCTCTCGGGGCTGTTCGCTCCTTGCACGGGAACGCTGTTACCCGCGAACCGAGTAATTAAGAGGAAGTAATCACCGCAACGAGATTATGCGCCACGGTTGATCCAAAGAGGCGCCTCCCTCCTTCGAAATTTTCAATCCTTCTCCCGAGGATTGGATCGGACGTCGTTTCGAGAAGAGAAGAAAAGAAAGGGGGGGGGGAAAGGGGGAGGAGAATTCCGGAGAGACGATTTTTGAAGAGTGTCTCTTTACTTTTTTAAAAACTTCTCGAGAGAGAGAGAGAGAGAGAGAGATAAAATTTGTCGAGAGATAGAGTTGGTAAGAAAAGGAAGCCATGTTGAATTCATTTTGAATATTCATCGTTACGTTATTATTTACACGTTATATGAGATATAACGATATCTCTTTAAAACAGAATAAAAAACAAAGACCGGATTTTTATTATCCGGATTGGATGACTATCAAAGAGTTCTTGCACAATTGTAATAATATTAGCTAGTAGAGAAATTTAAAGAGTCACGAGGAATGTGTTCGAGTCGTTGTTGCGAGTGCGGATTATTATTTAATTTAGGACGTAGGAAAGAGAGAAAAATCTAATTTAAAGAAGAAAGGTAAGAATAAGGAAATTATCGATAAGCACACAAGCGAGAAAATATACGCGTGTATACAATGATTTTAATTGAGAAAATTCCTCGAGGTCGAGTGGTTCCATGGGTGGAAAAAGAGCGACAAAGATGGCGGAGCTCGAGTATAATCCATTTCGAAACTTCCTTTGGAACAACCACCAACCGGAATAAAATATGGCGATTGATGGTTAAATGGAGCGCGCGGATCGAACGAATTCTAATTAACACGTTTAAAAGAAAAAAACTTGGAAAACTCGGATAATTGATTAATATTTTATTGTAATAACATATATATATATATATATATATATAAGTGTACGGTACGTTACCCTGATCACGAGTAGGAAAATGAGATCGCCGGAACGAGCCGGTGGCGATTTCTTTCTCCTCCTGAAGAAATATATCAGTTTGAAAAATACCCGGTACTGTTATACCAGATACTCGTATAACGATGCCTTCCTGGCCTGAGAATGTTTTTAGTTCCCCCGTTCGCTTGCCAGAGGGAGCGGCGTACGAGAAATTCTTAGACTACTCTCCACAATTTTTAATCCAACGGGTTACGTTCCGAACAATCTAATTTCTCAAAAAATGAGATCAACTTGAAAACAAAAAAGACAAATTTTTCTAAACCCATCCGGATTAATCATCTTTCATCCACTTCATTTTCGAGCAAGCGAGCCATACTCAAAAACATTATAAAATTTCCCCCGTTTTCTTTCTTCCTTCCTATCGCCATAATCCAACCCTACACTGTACCAACCTACATCCGCCAACAACCAGATCCACCAATCGACCGCGAAACGCGAAAAGCCGCAACGAGAAAGGAGGCGAGCGAGGAGCGGCGTAAATGTTTAAAAAAAAGAAAAGCGGCTTGAAAATTCCAAGTCCGCGTGCAAAAGGAAGAAAGGAAGAGCGGCGTGGCCGGAAACGTTGAACTTGGGCTCGCGCATAAAACGATCGGAACCGAGGCGGCGGATCTATTTACCCGTGGCAACGTCGTCATTATATTCGCATTATCGTGGCCTCTGGCCGAGCTCGCAAGCCTTCCCTCCCCCCCTCATTCGAAAAACCGTTCACAACCTCGGTATATTTCGAATTTATTCCTCCTCTCCCTCCTCTCCCCTCTCTCCTCCCTCTACCCGTATGCGGTGCACGCGCTCATAATTGCATCGAACCGGCTGATATAGAGGCCGTGCAACGAGCACGGAAACAGGATCCACTTGGCACAGGCCTCGTAGGATCCGTTCCGGGGAGGTACGTACGTGCGCGAAGAGGAGAGTTGAAAGAGAAATAATATTAGACGATTTCGAGGATAAGAGGAGGAGATGCAAAGAGGAGAGACGCCCACGGGAGGATATGGATGGGAACTGTTGGAGAAGTTAGTGAATCGGTGGATCTTTAAGGAGGATCGGGAGGACTGTTGGAGGATCGGAGTGGGCGGCCATGTTGGCGGTCCTCGTCAATTGGAACAGAGAGAGAGAGAAAGAGAGAGAAAGAGATTTGGATAGGAATATATTTAACACCTCCAAATTAAATGGAACAACTTCTCGTTTTTCGAATCAATTCTTTCGATTCACCAACAATTTTATTCTGTCCGAAGACGATATTTCTATTTATCTATGTACTAATATTTAATTTCAATTATTATCTTTGTCATTCTTTTCAGGTGGGCAAAGGATACCTCTAAGCACATGATGGGTTGAAGAGTCGCTATCTTTTCGAGATTGGATATCGCCCCGTTGCTCGAAATGGGCCTGAATTCTCCATCGGCTTGTTATATAATTTTGATCCCCGGCCGGTGACCGAGATAGGAATCACGCGTCGGTGAATTCGGCGTGTAAATATAATACACCGACGTAACGAATGTCACGCACGTCGTCCCAACTCGGGACGATTCTCTCTCTCTCTCTCTCTCTCTCTTTCTCTATTTGTTCGTTCCCTCACGCACAACACACAGACGTTATAATTCGATTTCGAGTCAGTTCAATTACGGAGCGGACGACGTAACAACGTCTGAATTACAAGCTGTCAAAATCCTAGGGTTCCCCAGAATCGATGGAACGTTAACAGACGAAATCGAAATGGAGAAAGGGGAAAAGGAAGAGGGAAAGAGAGAGAGAGATAGTTGTGTGCACGTCAGAAGCTTGGGTCTTCGCCGTCCCACCTACTCTCAGCTGTTAAAATACGTATGTATTTACGTCTGTAAACGCAGCTGCCAGACGCTTTTTCGAGGTTTATCTACGCGTGCTAGTCGAAAACCATTTCTTCTCTCTCTCTCTCTCTCTCTCTCTCTCTCTCTCTCTCTCTCTCTCTTTTTTCTCGTTCTTTATCGGCCAGACGCTGTTCATTAACCCGTCGTTTTACGGACCTCCTCGTGAATGGAACCCCTTTTCGTGCACGCGTGGTGGGAATCGACTGCACAGCCTTTATCCAAACGGTCTGTCTTCCGTGCGGGGGAGGATGCCAGTTTTGTGTGTTTGGTAGATTTTTTTTTTTGGAGGAGGATTTTCAACGCTCTCGAGATTGGAGGAACGAAACTTGAAGAGAATTTTGGGAACCTCGTTGGGAAAAACATCTTTTGGAAAGCGTTAAAGTCTAATATCTCGAATTAGGTTTGTATTTAGGGCGTGGATAATTCATAATTCATCGAATATGCGAGTTAGCTCTGGCGGATACACTTTATCTTTTGCTCGATGTTGGACGACTGACTTTTTCCTAATCGCTGGGAACACGAGATTGGCAAATTCATTGAAATATTCAATTTGCAGAGGTGAGATTAGTCATAGAAAATCGATCGTCTTGTAGTCATCCTCAGGCAGAGTTGGAAATTAATCACAATTGAAAAAGTAACTGCGTTAACTTAACTTAAAATTTCGAATAAACTTGAATTGAACGTTTATTATATATATACAGCTATTACAATTGATTCGCTTTTCATATAACCTCTGCCGTTGGTTGACACTACGATTATTATGCTTTTATTATTATTACGTTTCGAACGAAATAAATTATTGAAATAACCTATTCGTAAAATTTAATTATTAAATTTTGCCCATCACTGTCCTCGATCGGTGTTACGAATCGGGAATTACGCGCGGTTAAAAGTTCAAGAAAATCAAAAATAATGCTGACTTTTGACTAACTAACGCCATTGCAAAAGGCCTTTTGAAAAAAATGAAATCGTAAATCACTGCTTGAAATTCGCGTAGAATTTCTGTCGATATCTGTCGTTGCAACTCTTCAATTTTTGAAGAGTAAGAAATTGACTTTTAATCTATCGAGAAGCGAGGCAAAAGCGTGACGCGGAAAATAGACAGATGTGTTAGACCGCGCGCGTCTAGAGAATGTTATGATGTAACACGATAAATATTTCCCAAGGTTGCAACAGCAGCAGCATCTGTCGATCCGTCCATCCTTCGTTTCCTTTTCCCCCTGTTCCTTTTGTAATTAATCATGGGTCAGAGATCTGGTGTTATTTGTTCACAGATATTGTTAAGGTTAAAAGTTTGTTCGGGGGAAAGAAAAAAAAATCTAGCCGATCTTTTCTTCAGCGAATATATATACGCGCTTCGATACATCTGTTTATTTTCTGCGCAGTATTCACAAAAGTAAAACAAATCGATCGAGTTCGAGATTCATCGTTCGACCGGAGGCGGCGACAACTTCAGTTCAAAAG